ATATAATAACTGGTATTGTGAAGCTTCTGAATGGCAATGTTAACGTTCATGCTAATACACAAGGACTTCGGCGACCATCTGCTAGTCGTATTAATAATCGTGGGCCACCACGTATATCTGATGTGCAGACTTTACCGATAGATTATGATACACAAAAGAAACCATTGGGCTCATCTATTCGTCCGCCGCCATATACAGGACCATTCGATCGTCCGGAGCGGCCATTTATTACAGGTGTACCGATTCCAGAGCAAATCGTCCCATTGAGGCCGGGATTTATTAGTCAACGTCCGCCATGGCATCGACAGAAACCACGACCTCCAATTACTACTGCTATTGGAGGCAGACGTCCGATACCGCAATATAAACCAATGCCGAATTCACAGTTATCGCCTCCTGCCGCTGAGGAGTCTACTGCCCCTGTCAAAGACACACCTGAGATGACATCACCCCAGCACTCAGGAGAAATGGAAATTTCCGTCCCTCCGGACTATAACGATGCAAACGGTGATGTGCCTAAACCAACTGACGCCACTTATGATTCAGAATTCTCCAATGAGGACACAAACTCCCAATATATTGAGGTATCTGACCAGGACTCCAATGAAACAGCTGATCAAGCTCCTATGGCGGTTGACAAAGACGAATTGGAAGAGGAAGATACAGCGCCAATGCAAGCATCTCCACCGCCTGCAAAGAAAGATGAGCAAAACAGTAAGAAGAAACCCAGTAAACATAAGGGCGCCGAAAAGAAGAAGCACGCTCAAGAAGATTATACAGCAATAATAGAAACCAGCTCCGCTGCACACACTGAGATGCAAATGTCTTCAACATATGCACCAATGCCAATGGAGATTAGTGAAGGTGCCACTATCGACCCATCTACAGAAGAGGTTATTTTCATGACACCTAGTAAGACACAAACACTGGAGATCAGCTCCCAACTGGATGATACAAGTTCATCTATTGAGATAATAACTCAAAGCTCCATTATCACGACAGCATTCCCAAATACAACTAAGAGCCCGGTTGTGCTGAGCCCATCAAGCAGTACTGAACTGTTGGCGACTATTCCACCAGCTTCAACTAATACCACACCCAAACCAATTTCCACCACTACTACTGCCAGACTATCAACTACCACATCTTCTATTGCCACTACCTTCACCCCGCCCGTGACCACCTCTGCTAACACCCTCCCCATGCCAGTGCCCCAACCTCCATCTGACTTCCAACCACGACCAGGTTTAGTTCTTGATGATCCAGAATTCAAACCAGGTGGACGACCGCGGCCACCCAGACCAATTCAATCACGTCCGGTTGATGTTCAACAACAACCATCATACAATATTCAACCTACACGGCAGCACTTGCCTCCAGGCTATGGGGAAATATTTGACGTAACTCTATCGGCCATACAAGGTCCTGGGTCCGCAGGCGGTTCGCAACAGACGATTAATATTAAACCATACGGCACTTACGGCAACAGTGGGGGACAACAAGGCGATATAATACTATCTGCCGCAGGTGATGATGGTTTTGTTTCAATCGATGGTAAGCGCACTTACATCAATCTCTTTGGTGATCCAACAGATCCTCCTGCAGGAGTACCCACTACCCCGGCGACGGCAGTACCACAACTACCTGGCAGTGGTGTCACTGTAGGAAATGGTGTTGACAGTGGTAATGGTATCGATAGTAGTGGAAATGGTGGAACCGGTACAGGTAATGCAGTTACTCAGAACAACTTACCCAGTCTGGGATCAGGATATGGTATACCAGAAACAGAAGTTGTAGACCTAGAGCCCACCAAACCCAATAACGTAAAACCACAATCGTCTACTACTAATTCTGGTCCAACGAGACCTCACTATCGTTCGCGACCAACTCAACCACCTGTGCGCATCGACACTTGTATTGTGGGCGATGATTCGACCTGCGATCAAGCACAACATGAACGTTGCAAGACCGAGAATGGTGTATCTAGCTGTCATTGTAGACCCGGTAAGTAATAAAATAAAATATGTTGAGGACTCGCTCTATAATTATTTCTTATGTAGGATATTCGCGTCGCAAGCATCGAGAACCCTGCAGAAAGGTTATATCTTTTTATCTGGGCATGCGGGTGGATCGTATTTACGAGCATCGTATTGTGTGGGACAATAAACTTTTGGATAAACATAGCGAACCCTATGGACAATTGAGCTACGAGTCGATGAGAGCAGTAATATACAAGACAAACCCAAATGGACCCTCAAAACATGCAAAGCATAATATTTGATCTTTTGCTTTCAGATCGATTCGGCAATGTCGATGACGCCCTATTCGGATGAGTTCATGGATGCACGAGTTAACAATATTTACCGTGGTGATCCAAACCTGGGTGGCAGCGGTGTTTTTGTGAACATGACCATCAAAGTAAGTACTAATCAATTGACATTGTCAGGGTTCTAGATCTACCAGTAATTTAAAAATGTTCATTAGCTTGACGAAAGTGTGGAAACGTTGCGGCCAAATCTGCGTGCGGACGTTCAAAAGCATTTGTTGGGCGTACTCCACCGACGCAATAATAATATTGGTAACTCTGTTCTATACGTGTCTTCGCCGGAGGGCTCCATAACTGCCTTACACGACCTGGACGAATGTCAGTCTCGCGAGTTAAATGATTGTCATGCAAGTGCGTCATGTTCGAATTCATGGGGAAGTTTTCGTTGTGCTTGCGAAATAGGGCTCCGTGATCCGTGGGCCGATCAACCACAGCGCGCTGGTCGCGACTGTCAATCTTGTCCGGACTCATACTGTAACAATCGTGGAACTTGCAGTTACAATGAGGAAGGAAACCAAGTTTGTGCTTGCGATTCGAGCCATTATGGCGGGCAATGTGAGATCGATGGGGAAGTTTTGGGTGTGGCCATTGGAGCTTCCTTGGCAGCCGTTGTTATTATTGTGTTGACTTTGGTTTGTTTAATAATGTGGTCCCGTCGTTGGCAACGTGAACAGAAGAACGCGATTGGTTCGCCAGTATTTGGCTACATGAATACAGCGCCAATGAAGTCCGCTGGTCTGCCGGGACAACCGGGTTATCAAGTGACATTGGAGGATCGCATGCGCTGGGCACAGATCGCTGATGTAATGGCACAAACAAACCATTACGGGGTAAGTCCGATTGTGAGTATATCGAAGAGAAATACAGAGACTCTATTATAGCATGTGTTGTATGATTATTCGAAACTTATTTGTATAAACCCGCTCTATACTTTTCAGGCTGAACCTGTCGGACCCACACGCCCGTCGTCGGCAATGTTCGCTTATCCGAATCTGCAATCTATGGGTATGGGCACCATGGCAGGCATGTCAATGCAGGGCACCATGCAAATGCATCAGGCAGGCAATATGGCACCGCCAGTTCCTTTGCCACGGTATGAGTGTGTATACCCCTCAGACAATTCCACAAATACGAATAAAAAGTTGTTCCACATCAAATCTATCTGTCTTCCTGTTATAACTTTTGTCTTTTTTTCCAGAAGACTGGGGCTGAGTGCACGATCGAATGGCATGCGAACCTTGGAGAATTCCAGCTCAAGTGAGGAAGAGGATCGAGCTGATTTGCTCGGCCGTAATTTTCAAGTACCGCGACCAAAGAGTAGAAGTAATGGAAGCATAGCGGTAAGTTCTTCGAAGAAGTAAAAACAATTTAAAATAGTGGTAGTTCTTCGGTAAATTTTGAAAGTCCCAACTGATAGAGTCATAAATTTGTCAACATAAGGAACGAAGTTGAAAAAGTGTCGCCTTCGGAATCTGTGTCGGCATGCCCATTTCTATCATCGAATTGGCTTTAAGTGGATTCGTTCCGCTGATTTAATGTGCTATATCCATCAACCCATCAAGCCGATCTTTTTGAATCCTATTTTATTCACATAATGCCGCAATTAACAGTAATTCACATTTGACCACAAAATTCTCTTATTCTTCGGTACTTTTCACAGAATCAGTCGGGCATCTACTATGACGTAGATTACGAGCCAACTGGCAATGGCATCGGCAACACGAGTGTGGATCACTTGTACGGTTCGCAAAATCAGTCATCCACCCACTCACACACGCATTCACACTCACACAGTGGCAACAATCACATACCGGGACCACAAGGCATACCAATGAGCACCTACACATCCGGACGAGCCCCAAGCAGTTACTACATGAAATAATTCCGTTATCTACTACTACTAGTATGTATGTATAATGTTAGTATGTATGAATATGCCTGCTTGCAGTAATGCAATCGAAGGTCGACGCGGAAGCATTAGTTGAACTTCGGATTTTCAAAATCGAGGGTCACTTCAATTCTTGTAATATGCCTTAAGAGCTAGTCGTTAAGGGAATATGTAGCTGTAAATAAGAATTAATGAAATAAAACGATACTATTAATTTATTGTATTTAAAATCATACCTAGTAAGTCAAAGTAACTGTTATTTAAGCCCCTTTTAGCTAAGCTAAGTCTATTTATCACTCTCGTACTAACTTCGTCTAACTTCGGCTCAAGCACGCTTGTGTCTATGTTTAAGTATCGCAACGCAGTGTCTTGAAGAATGCAATATTTTTTAATAACTTTCGAATGTGTTTATAAAATACCAGCACAATTGTTAGAAATATAAGTAAATGTAAAAACTCAGTGTACATACGTATATATTTTAAACAAATGTAATAAATTTAATAGAGACCAAAAATATGCGACAACTTTCATTTCAACATACATATATTATGTAAGTATGTTTATAGATACTGACCACCTGCCGATCATCGACAAGGCCGTAGAGAGAAAACCGAGGCCCGGCATGATAGTAATTAATATTGTTGGGCGCTCCCTTGCTACTCACTTACCTGACTTGAGAGGTAGTGAGATAAATTAGTTTAGTTCTTTTAAAGTTGTATTAATTTCAAATCAGCTGAGTCGCTTTGTAACCAGAATTAGGGGTATAAATAAAAAAAAAAACAACAATTTCATTTAATGCAATGTCTTACTAAATTTATTGAATTCATTTCTATGAACAAAGAAGTAATAAAATACTCTATGCGAGCAATCAAGCCATGTAAATTATAAATATTATTCTCGTTTATGGTTAAAGGGGGGTGTGTAAAATATTTAATTAAATCAAATACTTCATGTAACCAACACACTAAAATAAATTAATTAGTTAATTAAATTAATAATATCCAGAGAAAGCAACCATTTGAGTTGAACAAGCCTTCAGATAAAAGCGTAATTGAAATGAAGCTACAGTCAAGTAATGCTTAAAAGTAAAATTTGGAGATAAGCAATTGAGTGTAACACTTGTCCGGGATGTATGTTATACATTTCTTTACGTATGTAAAAACAGAAAATGCTTGATTGCATGATGATGCAGGATTATCTCGTTACACTTGGCAACATCTATTTTTTCTTTTTGTTTTTACCCTGAGCAGCAGGTTGGGGTGCGCCGCTGAGTGTGGCAAGATCCTTTTTCAGTTGCAGCAGTTTCTCCACTTCCGGTTTCCACACGCTGACATCACCGCTTGCTTTCAATTGGCGTACCTTTTCGCCCTGTATGTTCCAGAAGAGTGTTCTAATTACCATAAACTACTTAAATGAATAGCGGTTTCCTCACCTGTTGTGTAATACGTTGTTCAAGGTCCTTGACTTTTTCGTCGCTGGCCTCTGGCGTCGAAACAGCTTGAGCGGCAGTCAGTTGCTTTTTGAGATCCAATAAGATATTTACTTCGGGTTGCCAAACAGCTTTGTCTTTCGTTGACGCCTTTAGCTGACGTACTTTTTCGCCTTGCAAACACACGGCTTCCTCCAACTGAGCCACTGAAAGTGTGCTGCTGGGAAGTGCCGAAGGCTTGGCAGTCGCCGAATTTGTATTGGTTGTTGCCGATGATGGCTGGCTGTCGTTGGTTTGATCCTGTACACCGCCAAACTTCTTTTTCAACTCTTCAATAAAGTTCTGCTCCAATTTGGTGAATAAGGGTGCTGGTTTTCCAATGTTATGACCAGTGGGCAGAAGAATGTTGATAAATGGTTTTCTGCAAAAGTTTAGTTCAAGATTGAAATAAAATTTAAACAATATTTCTTGAGTACTTACTCTGGATTTAGTAGGGTGGGTTTAGCGTTTAACTGAGAGAAAAGTGTACGCGCAATTGTTGGCATGTATGGTAACATAAGATTGGCCAGAAGCGCAGCGATGTTGGCGCAAATACCAATGATGGTGGCTGCGCGCGCCTTCTGCTCAGTAGAGCCTTTTAGTAGCACCCATGGTTGCTGAGATTGCATGTAACCATTGCCGTGACGAGAGATCGAAAGCAAATGCCGTATGCCGTCTCGCAATTTTGCCTTTTCAAGTGAGTGGATATAACCTCGTACTTCGCGGTTGATGAGTGCCAACAGTATGAGCTCATTCTTTGTTAGTGTCATAGTCGGCACGACGCAGTTGAAGTTCTTTTCGCAGAAGACTAAGGCACGGTTCACGAAATTACCCAAATTGTTTAACAAATCGGAGTTATTACGCGCAGCCAAGTCATTCCAACTGAAGTTGGAGTCTTGACCTTCCGGCCGTGCAGAGGCAAGATAGAAACGCCATATATCAGCAGAAATACCAGTTTGCTAATTAAAACCCAAAATTTTTTATACATCACAAGGTAAATACAACATTTTTGACTCTTACCTGAGCGTCGTTGCCAAACACACCAATACCACGGCTTTTACTGAATTTACCATCTTCGTAGTTCAAATACTCTGTCGCCATAATATTAGTTACCATAGTGTGCCCCTTGTTGGTCGCCAATAGTGAAGATGGGAACACAACAGAGTGGAAGGGAACGTTGTCCTTGGCCATGAAATGGAAAAGCTCTACTTTCACATCCTTCGATGGTATCCACCACTGTTTGTATTCGCTGGTGTAATGTTTCGTCATGGAAATATAACCGTATGGAGCATCGAACCACACATAGAAAACTTTCTTTTCGAAACCAGCAAGTGGCACGGGTATACCCCATTTAAGATCACGTGTAATACATCGCGGTTTGAGACCTTCCCGTAGCCAAGAACGAGTAATTACGCGGGCATTATTGGTCCAGCCCATTTCGGAGCCCTCCAACCACACACGTAGTTGTGGTTCAATTTTTGGCAAGTCGAGGAAGAGTTGGTCCGAGGACCGTATTACTGGTGCGCTGTTACAAATTTTGCAACGTGGCCGAATTAGTTCGGTGGCATTAACTAGCTTGCCACACTTATCGCATTGATCTCCACGTGCGTCTTCATATCCACAGCCAGGATGAGGACATGTGCCTTCTACGAATCTACAACATAAGAAAATTTCAAATAGTTTTCAAGAGTTTCACCAGCAAATTAAATACATACCGATCGGCCAGAAATCTATCACATTTCACACAATGTAGCTGGTCAACGCTCTCGGTGAATATATAGCCGTTCTTGTAAACGTCCTGAAATGCTTCTTGCACAATTCTGAAACATTCACATTTTATCCACACGCTTTGTTTTTAAATATTAATAGTCTTACTCAGTTTGATGCTGCGACGACGTGCGACCAAAGAAATCAAAACCAATGCCAAACCAGCGATAAATTGAATTATGCAGATCAAAGTATTTGTCACATATTTGCTTTGGGGTGAGGTTCTCAGCTAATGCCTTGTTTTCTGTTGCCGTGCCGTACTCGTCTGTACCACAGATATATAGAGTATTGTTACCAACGGCGCGGGAATATCTACAAAGAACAACCACAAACACATGCCTTATTTATTTGCTTAAACGCAAATGCTGTGCCACAAACCGAGCAAAAATATCTGCAGACAACACACAGCCTATGATGTTTCCCAAATGTGGCACATTATTCACGTAAGGTAAGGCGGATGTTATTAAAACGTTACGTTCTCCTGCCTTTGGCAAAACGGTTCGAGGTTCAACGCGTTGTGGCGAAGACACTTGCACAAAACTGTTTTGAGCGTTCGCCAACTCGTCTTCCGTGACAGTGTCTGCCAAATTTCCAGTTGTATCGGCTAGTAAATTCTCCGACTCAGATGCTGTATGCACGCGGACGGGAACATGATTCAGACCACCATATCGGTTGGAATTTTGCAAAGATGTGAAACTTAAGTCAGCTAATGGAGTTCCTGCTAGCACCGATTGAACTTCAGGTAGTGCAGTGATTTTTCGATACCATGCTTTAAGATGCTGTATATTCTGAGCACCTTTCATTGTGCCGTCGGGTGCCAATAAGGACCATACAGCGATATCTGCTGTACTTACTTTATCTCCCGTTAAAAAGGCTGAGTCTGCCAAACGATCATCTAATTTTCTGACTAGTAAATTTAGAACAGGTAATGCGTCAGGATTGGCACGGTGGCCGACGGACAAATGTTGGGACAGGGCGGGTGCCAATTTTACCGTTGACCATTCCAGCCACTGTAATATAAAATAGTACATTTTTAACGAAAGCATTAAAATTTGCATTACTTTCTAATTTATACTAACCTCATCACGAAGGGCACCTTCATCCGGAAATAGATATCTTGCAACCGCATCCGTCGAAAACAATTTCAAACCACTTTCTAGCTCCAATATTGGTAAGACTAAAAAATCTTTGCTGGCAGGGTCTGGAAATAACAGTTACTTATTGCATCAGATTGCATTACAATCGCGTTATTCAAATGCATGGAAATTTACTAATATGTGACGAATCATTCTTACGTGCCATTTAAAGAATATAATTTTTGATTGTCAACCACTCGCACTTACCATTTAACGTGACTTTAATGACTTCCACTGGTTTATTGGCGAACTTCGCCAACAATTGTAATTTTAATCCAAACGGATTTCCTTCGTTGGTATAAATTTTCATATTTGGTATTTTATCCCCACTAATTTCTAATATCTAAAATCGCACAAACACGCGACAGTTATTCGATGACAGATACCAATTGAATTGGATTCAATCAGTTGCCACGACTTTTAAGAGGTAAATATTGCAGTGTTGCATTGCTTGGTAGCAGTTCGAGTGTAAACTGAAGAAGCTCATTTCGATGTTAAACCATTATAGGGAATACAACTTTCAATATTTCTCATTTCACACGATAAAAAAAACTTTTTTCATGATCAGTTAAGTCAACACAACGTTTAACAATAGAATCATGGCATATACCGAATCGTACGCTGATGAAATGGATATTGAAAGAAATAAATTCATTAAATTCTGTAACCAAACAAATAATCAGGTAGGAGTGTGATATTTTGAATTCTGTAACATTTTCTATAATGTTACTTTGAAGCTTAAAGTTACTAAGAACTTTAATACTGAAATAATAAATGTAGTCCTTTCTCTACATCACGTTGACGACATATGTCCCACAGTGGCTAAACAGCTGATCGGTATCATTGTGACTTCTATTTACTTTGACATTTAATATTCATTTCCATACGGTATTGATAAACAAGTATAGTTACTTGATAAAATATTTTTGTAAAATATACTTAAACTTATTTAAGTAAACAAAGTAAAATGGGTGAGCGTAAAGGGCAAAATAAATACTATCCCCCTGATTATGATCCGAAGAAGGGTGGACTTAATAAATTTCGTGGTACGCATGCACTACGTGAGCGGGCCCGAAAAATTCACTTGGGCATAATCATTATACGTTTTGAAATGCCCTACAATATCTGGTGTGATGGATGTAAAAATCATATAGGAATGGGTGTTCGTTATAATGCGGAAAAGACGAAAGTAGGCATGTACTATTCAACACCTATTTACAAGTTTCGAATGAAGTGTCACCTATGCGACAATCATTTTGAAATACAAACCGATCCTGCAAATTTGGATTATGTTATTCTATCCGGAGCACGCCGACAAGAGAACCGCTGGGATCCGTTACAAAATGAGCAGGTTGTACCCGAGACTAAAGAAGTACAGAAACGACTATTCGATGATGCGATGTACAAGTTGGAACATCAAGCTAAAGATATCAAAGCTGGGGAGGATGCAAAACCGGTGCTGGAACGTTTAGTTGAACGTAATCGAAGTGTTTGGGATGACAGTTACGAAGCGAACTGTCGTTTAAGAGCAGAGTTTAGGGTGAGTGCTTTAGTCATGTATATAAAATTAGTTTAAATGTATTAATTATAAATCACTTATAGTCTAAAAAGAAGGAACTGAAGGCACAAAAAGAACTTGATGATCAATTACTTGCGAGAAACAGCCTTGATATAGCGCTTTTACCAGAAACTGACCAAGATAAGCAAATGGCTGAGTTGATGATGCTTCAAAGCAAATCAGCCCAAGAAAGAGAAGCAGAAAAAAGACTGGATATATTAATGAAACCTGCCCTACCAGGCGCTACCAAAACCACGTTCGGTGGACTGAAAAGGCAGAAAATACTTAATACGCATCTACAATTTGGAGATTTGGGTATTAAAAAGAAAACCGAACCATGCACTCTTGCAGAAAAAACTGTTACCACAAGAGAAGAAAATTACACCCAAAATGAAGATTATACGCCATTGAAGGACAAAGGGCAAACCGAGAAATTAAAAGAAGAGGAGGCCAAAGTAATAAATTTGCCAAACAGTTTGGCTCTAGTCTGTGATTATAATAGTAGTAGTGAAAATGATAGTAGCAATTAAATAAATTACATACAAAGTTTAATTATCGAATTAACATTCGAATACAACCAATAACACAATAAAAATACAATACTTAAAAAAAGAAATGTTTTATAAAATAAGCACATTTATATTATGACATATTACAACTCTGCTGTTTCGGAGCCAGATTCATTATTTCCATTCCCTGGGGTTTCACCATCGTTGGCATATAATATAGCCAATGCACGCTCCCGCAACTCATCGTGATCTGTAAATTCCTTCAAACTGTTAAAAAAATATATATATTGGATAAGTTTTGAAAAGTTTATAGAAATTATGCACTTTGGTTTTAACTTACACATTTTCCACATCGAGTAGCTTTTTATAATAAAAATTTCTCTCATTTAATATTGCCGCGGTCTACGATCATAGAGAAAAGAGGCAATTACAAGATTAGAGCGAGGAAAGGTGTCAATCAATATGCACAAACCTGCTCAGCCAGTTTATCCCGAGTCTCTTGCAAATATTTCAAGCTTCTTGGTGAACCACTTTCGTCCGCGTTAAGCTGCGTTGAATTCGCTGTTGGTGGCGTCATTTCCGAACCTACTCGGTTTAGTACTTTTTTCGTCGTTTTTGTCTTGAGATTAATTTGCGGCTTCTGTGTATTTGGAAGCTTCATATTTTCTTTACCGGCTGCATGCACGTCATAAAACTTCTTGAACCATTGCAGAAATTCAAAGTTATCCTGAAATCGTCCTTTTATCAACCGTTCGATGGGCACGGACTTTTCATAGTTTATACGTGTGAACGCCATTTGAAAGAGTTTTAAATTGTGCAAAAATTCATGTTCTAGTTTTGCATTGACTTTTATTTTTTTCATACCGACCGAATTTGGGAAGAGCATTTCCATCATTTGGCAATAGGCAACACCTAGTCAGATTTTCTATTTGTAATTATACTTGGACAGACACTTGTACAAATATCACCAGTACCTGAGCAGAGATCCTCAATTTTGGTATATTCACCTTGGACGGTTGTATTAATCCAGCGCAACATTTCGTGGCGCGATAACTTCTCTGAAGAGGCATGCGTTAGAGCAACGGGAATCTTTGCATCCGGCATGGCTTGTGTACTCATTTTTATAATTTATAAATAATAAAATCCTCACTTTTTGTTATATTACTAATAAAGTTAATAACTAAGCTGAAATTCCAATTTTGCTTTTAATAACGGATCAACCAGTATTTTACACCTCTTTTGGCGCTCAAAGCATCTATAAAAACAAACAAAATAAAGTAGCTGGTAAAGAAACTGTGACATCCAATAAGCAACCCACCCTGTAGGAAAAAAAAGATATTTCATTGAAAACCAAATCATAGATTCTCCTTTTCATACTACGATAAAACCAACGATAAATTTATAAAATCAAATTATAAATCCTCATGTGTTCTTGCTTATTAATCTTAGGACCTTAGCATGATAAATTCGAAATATTTATAGATTTTAAATTTAGAACTCGTCTAATATTTTATTTAAGTCATAGTAGTGATATATCACACACTCTTTTGAAGAAAATTATTTTAAATTTTAACAAGGTTTTCCTATAGCTTACTAAACTTCTCCACCTTCTTGACAAATTCTACAAAGTCTGCATACAGCAATTGGGGCATTTCTAAAGCAACAAAGTGACCGCCATCTTTATAGTATGTGCTGTGAATCAAGTTCCGATATTTATCCTTTAGTTGGTTGTCCTGAAAGTGTATCAAATCGTGTTTGAAACGTGCACAACCCGTCGGCACATCCGTCGGAACACTATCCATATGTAGTGCGCGTTGCTCAGGGGAATGATGTTCGGCGAATAGACGTGAAGATGTCGTTATGGAATCAGTCAAATAATAGATCATTACATTATCCAGGAGCGTATCCAGCTTGAAGCGTTTCCGCAGACCACCGTTAGAACTATCTTTATAATACTTATTCGTCAAAGAAGACCACTTATCCAAAATGTAAGCCGCTAAACCGACGGGATTGTCAGAAAGCACAGCGCCAATTGTATCCGGTTTTGTTGCTTGTAGATGATAGTAACCAGTTTCTTCAATTAAACGTTTTATTGCCTCCCAATGTGGGAACATCTCCTCAAAGCCATGGCGGAGGAAAAAGCTCGGCTTTATGGCATTTATAATTCCCTTCATAATCGATCTACCCGTAAATACAGTGCATAAATTTGAATGATATCCAAGTATATTTTCTGGAAACAGTGTTGCCATATGCGAGCCGATTACCGAACCGAAGCCACCTCCTTGGATGAAGAATTTCTTATAACCCAGGCGCAGCATCAGGTTGCGCATAATGACGGCGACTTGCGCTGGTCCCAAACCTTCCCTTGAAGTACCCTGTAACCGATGCCTCGTCAAACACATGTTCAGAAATAAACAGTGGTTGCAACTCACCTGCGACCAAGCGAAACCCGGTATACTCGGCACTACCACATCGAATATGTAGGGGTTGTTTTTATCCAAATGCGTTTGCTGCAGCTTGTGCATGAGCGGATAAAATTCACGTATTGAGCTGGGCCAGCCATGCAGCAAAAGTACAGGGTAATGGTGTTTGCCAACCTTGTTCTCTTCGTAAACCATTAAATGCAAAAAGTGCATACGAAGGCTGTAAAGAAATTACTAACTTCGTATTAAATTTAATTATAAGGAATATCCTTGGAATTCAATCCCGAATGAGCTTTTATATGAACTAGTTCAATTTATGAAAAATATTATGAGGCTCCCGTTGACCTATGGAAGAAAGTTGCTGTTGGAAAGCCTTCATTATAGGTTCGAAAATTGGTTGAATTTTTTCGACTCCTCCTCTCCTCTTCTACCAAAACTTACCCCTGAATTTCGGTTGTAAAGTGGTTGAACTGCCACATGAACACTTCACGTTCTCGCCAACGCGGCATATATTTATCACGCCAGTAATCGACGATTTTGAGTAGCTCCTGAGTGTTGAAACCATTTCTAAAATCTGGAGTCATGGACTCAGTCAGACGCAATGTGCGATTCAATCTTTGTCGCAGTTCGTCAATTGTCTGCAAGATGCAGGTGAAAGTTATGATTAGACTTTAGGTTAATAATTGACGACAATTCACAATGATATACCGAGTCCGGGAATATGAGTTTATTGCCAACCACCTCCGATGAATTTTTCACATATGCAGCCCAGTCTTCTGGTTCCGCGCCCTCTCCCCACCATTGATGAAGGCTTAGCTTT